TGAAACTGGAAAAGTTACAGAGTAAGGAGGTTTATGATTTGGCTTATGATTCTGGTGGGTAGAGGGTTCAAATATCATGGCACCAACATTCTGGTGGGGATCTCCTGAATGCATCACAATGTGGGAGAGAAGGGGAAAGTGAACTGGTTGGGTACAGAAGAGGAGAAATACATATAGCAGCTTTTATCATCTGGGATACTGAGGCAGGGGAATCACCATGACTTTGAGACCAGCCTGGGCTAAAACACAAAGTGAGAATCTGTCTCAAAATATGAGAAACACAACCAAAACTCCTAACCAACCAACCAACCAACCAACCAATCAACCAACCAACCAAACAAACAAACAAATAAAAACAAGCAACCCGCCCTTTCAAGAACTAAATCCCCAGAAATTATTAATCCTCCCACAGTTGACACCCCATGATATAATCACCTCATATTATGTCCCACCTCATAAATGTTCCTTAACACAAGCAGAACAGAGACTGAGCTCTCAACATACAAGCTCTTGGGTGGCAGCCCCTGAATACCCAAGCTCTAGCACCCAGAGGGGATAAATAATGTTAAAATTTGAAATTAAGAGCACTTGAGTCTTAACTGAAAAAGATGGATCAGAAGGAAGTTAAGTTCAATTGCCCAATAATAAAGCTACATGTCTGACTAGATCTCAGTACAAAATCACACATCTGAAGCTGATAAATGTTGGATCATTGTACAACTTTCTAAAAGATTTATTTAGTTTTAATTGCACACTATCTTAGTTAGTGTTTCTATTGCTGTGAAGAGACACCATGACCATGGCAACTCTTATAAAGGAAAACATTTAATTGGGGCTGGCTTATAGTTCAGAGGTTTAGTCCATTATCATCATTGCAGGACATGGTAGTGTACAGGCAGATGTGGTGCTGGAGAAGGAGCTGAGAGTTCTATATGGATGGTCAGGTAGCAGAAGGAGACTGAGGGCCAAACTGGGGATAACTTGAGCATATGAGACCTCAAAGCCTGCCTTCACAGTGACACATTTTCTCCAACAAGGTTACACCTACTTCAACAAGGCCACACCTCCTAATAGTGCCTCTATGGGGAGGGTCATTTGTTGCTAAAGTTTTCCTGCCTGGCCCACAGTCAGGACAAACTCTCTCACCTGCCAGTCCCACAGCCACTCAGACCCGACCAAGTAAACACAGAGACTTATATTGGTTACAAACTGTATGGCTGTGGCAGGCTTCTTGCCAACTGTTCTTACAGCTTAAATTAATCCATCTCCATTAATCTATACCTTGCCACATGGCTCATGGCTTACCGGCATCTTCACATGCTGTTTCTCATCGTGGTGCCTGGCAGTGTCTCTCTGACTCAGCCTTTCACTTCCCAGCTTTATTCTCCTCCTTGTCCCGCCTATACTTCCTGCCTAGCCAATGGCCAATCAGTGTTTTATTTACCAACCAATCAGAGCAACACATTTGCCATACAGAACATCCCACAGCAGTCATTTTCTTTCAATCCATCACACAAACACACACACACATACACACACACACACACACACACACACACACACACACACACACACACACACGTGTGTATCCATGTCTGGGTATGCGCACTCATGAGTGAAGTGCAAATGCCTATGGAGGCAAGGAGAGGGCGTTGGAGCCCCTGGAGCTGGAGTTATAGGCAGTTGTGAGTGATGCAGGTGCTAGGAACCGAACTTGAGTCCTCTGCAAGAGCAATACACACAACTACTGAGCCACCTCTCCAGTCCCTATCACACAGTTTTCATTATTACCATAATCATGAGTGCTTCTCATATAACAAGTATTAATAAACAAATCTGCATCTTGTCTGAGCCAGAGCTGTAACATTCTTTTAGCAGACTCACACTGATTAAGATTATGGAAAACTGACATACTTAGGTGGTAGAATTCTGTTAACAATGTAATTCATTATTAGCCTTATGCCATGATTGTGATGGTATAATTTAACCATTTCCTACCAAAAAAATCAACTAAAATAATGACAGATAAAGTGCTTATACCAGAGTTAGGAATGGAGATGCCACTTTTACTAGAAGAATAATCTATGCAGCCACTGATAAGTGTTTATAGAATGCTCCCCACTCATGCAGCATTGCCCAAAGTCAGCCTGCACCCCTACTGCAAGCCCAGAGATGCTGTGGGAACTGCTTGTCTATTCACCCACCGTATACTCACATGTCCATTTGATCACATATTTCATAGAACACCTACCATGTACTGGTCTTTGAGATGAAAGATAAATGAGTCTTGCTCTTTTCTCCCAAGGACTGATAATGATATATGCAGGGGAAGAAATGTAATTCAAGGAAGGGACCACAGATAAGGGCATGCATAACTCCGTCAGCTTAGAAGTGCTTTGGGAGGGATAGCAAAACCACTTAGGATCAGTTGACAAAGTGCAGGCATTGGCGAAGACTCACAAACAGGAACTAGCTGGAGGGGAGAAAGCATAGAGTGGAACAGCATACAAGGGCCCAGAACATAGCCAGGGACCCTGCCCTGGACACTATTCATTCATTAATTTATCCATGCAACAGCTATGTCATCCTGTCCAGTCCTTTAGGTTCTTGGGATATAGTGTACAAAGAGATAACAATTCCTGTCCTTACAGAGCTTGTGGCCAACTGATGGCAACAGACCAAATTGATGATATAACTAAAAAGTAACTTAAAAACTATGCCAGGTAAGGGAGCACACTATAGAGAAGTAGTAGGCTGGAATAATGGGGAACAAGAGTGGAGAGGAGTGGCAATAGATACTGTAGTCATCAGAGCAGAACTTATTGGGAAGGTGACACTGAGCAGAGCATTTGTCCATGGGGATTCTAGAGAGATGTCCAGGTAGAGGGAACAGTGATGCCAAGCCCCAGTGTATTTGAGCAGAGGGTACAGAGACAGCCTGGCTGGAGAGGGATGGTGCAGGGATGGGTTAGTAGGAGATGAAGTCTGAGAGTTGGAGGGCAGGGCTAGAGGAGATCTTTGGAGCCATTGGGAAGCAGAGAATGGGACCATAAGGTCTGGAGCAGAAAAGACAGGGTCTGATTTCTGTTTGAAACCCATCCAGTTGAAGTTCTTCCATGAACCCATTTGCAGAAAACCAGATAAAGTAAAAAGCAATTGAGTGTACTGATAAGGATGAGATAAGGAAGGACCGTTAGGACATTAAAATGCAATGGCATAATTAAAATTCACCTTGCAAGCATATGAAGCAGAAGCAACATTACATACTATGAAAATATTATTGTTGAGATTAACTCGAAAACCTCTCCTACAATTCAGAGAAAAGGGCCAGCAGGATGAAAACCACAGTGAGAACATAATAGATTCAGGCACAGGAACTGGTGCAGCTAGCCATTCATTGCTCCTAGAGGAGAGGCCAGGCCAGATGATTAAACCACACAGTAGAAGAGGGATTTTCCTATCAGATTGCAATGGCTCCCTTCACCCCCTGAGTGAACTTAAGTCCTTTAGATACATTGTATTCTGAATCAATGAACCAAAATAGGCAAGAGAGAGAGAGAAGTCCAAAGAGAAATATTCAAAAGCATAATTCCAAAGGCAAAATTTAGAGAGAAAGGGTCAGATATCTTCGGTAACACTGGATGTTCATCAAGAGGCCCATGTATCTACAGGAACATGTGATGTTCATTAGGATAAGCATCATGACACCTTAATTGTGTAAATTCCTGAAATGCCACCACCTCAGTTAGCAGCTAGTTCATTTGCTGATAAACAGAGGCTAGAAATGGTCCCTTGAGGGAAAGGTTGTATTGACAAGAATGGGTGGAGGCAAAGTAGGTGTTGAAGTTCTTCCAGTCCTTAAGGGCAGAATAGAAGGTTGGAAGAAATGAGTAAATAGAAAAATACAGAAAGGATCGGATGAAAGGGGCCTTCTTATCATGACCAGCTACTTATAAGTAGTATAAGAAATGCATAAAATCAGACAAGATACATTGAAATATGAGGCTCTAAGGGTTCACACACACACACACACACACACACACACACACACACACACACACACACACACAAAATGATCACATCCCTGAACCACTTCTCTCCATCATTCGTTCACTTTGGTTCTGAGTATGAAAGATGTATGGTTTGGGTGTGGTGTGTTCCCCAGATGTTCATGTGCTGGAAGTGTGGTCCTCAGTGTAGAAGGCAACCAGGTCATAAGACCTCTGTCCTTACAAATGGATTAATGCTGATCTTATCTCATGGGACAGGATTCCTTAACACGACAATGGGTTGTTATAAAAGGCAAGCCTGGCCGGGCGGTGGTGGCGCACGCCTTTAATCCCAGCACTCGGGAGGCAGAGCCAGGCAGATCTCTGTGAGTTCGAGGCCAGCCTGGACTACCAAGTGAGTTCCAGGAAAGGCGCAAAGCTACACAGAGAAACCCTGTCTCGAAAAAACCAAAAAAAAAAAAAAAAGTAAAAAAATAAAAAATAAAAAAATAAAAGGCAAGCCTGGAATCTCTTAATGCCCTCTTCTGTATACACTGCACATATCTGTGTGGTTACCACCACCACCATATGGCCTTCAGTAGCAATTTGCATATGTAGGTGCTACGCTTTTGAATCTCCAGAATTGTGAATTAAAAAAAATACTTTCCTGTTCTTTATAAAGTATTCCACCTCAGGTATTTTGTTATAGCAACTCAGACTATAATGGAAGGGCAGTGAATGAAGAGGAAAGGAAAATGGAGGAAAAGGAAAAGATGGCAACAAGGAAAGGAGAGGAAGTCCCTCAGAGGATTCTAGCCTCCCCGAGTGGGAGCAGACAAGACCGGAAGCTAAAGATGTGCACTTCTGCTGCGATAACTTGCTCTTGACTTTTGTTCTTCTTTCTGATACTGTGGGGGCTTGAGATAACCACAGAAGGTTTCCAGACCTTTACTTTCAGCACCGTGGTTTGGGGCTGCTCCTTACTAGGCAGAGCAGAGGGACACTGCTTACCTGGCCTGAGGTGCTGTGCAGCTTCAGCAGCCCGTTCTCCAGCCGCTCCACCTTGGACTGGAGTTCTTTTCCATTTCTGTCCAGTAAACTCTGGTAGAGTCTGATGAACTCCAGAAAGGACTTGGGGGTTGTGTAGTTGTAACGCTGCTCATTGGTCAGGTAAGACTGGGATGTCTTGTTGACACTTGTGTGTACAAAGGCCATGAACTTGCTAATTGACTGCTTCACTGCAGGCTAAAATCAGAAATAACGAGATTGAAGATGACTATCCAACCCTTCACCTTCATGGAAAGTTATGCTTGATCATTCAACCCAACCCCCAACTTTAACCTTGACCTCTGGATGTCTGAGTTGAGGTGGATGCTAAGGGGAGTCCTTTATCCTCTTACCTCAATGTTCTTGGTGTTCTGCAAGAAGCGGAGGCTCACAGACTCCAGGGCCTGCTGAGGCCACTCATGGAACCAGTTGATAGCGGTACAGTTCACAATGGCTGGGAACTTCCTGCTTCGAATTCTCAGCTTGTTCCCCACAGGGGAGAAACAGAGAGTCACCTGAGACATCAGAAGGGGAAGGAGAACCAAGAAGGTATCAGAGAAGTCCACGGAGAAGTAGACACAGGTTCAGATTGTTGCTCTTCAAGAAAATTGTAAAGCATGCTGAACAGGGATAGAATCTTCCCATGCGAGCCCATCCTTCTAGCTAAGAAATAAATAATGCCAGGGCTGCTCTGTGCGTGAGAGGGCCCTATTCAGAGCAGAAAATGATATTCTGGAAGTGTTGCTCAGCCAAAGAAGAGCATTGCATCTTTACCACCTCCTCCTGAGACAGTTCATAGGGATGGTGTCCAATTATCATCTCCTGTAGCCACCTCTGGCCATGCCCATGCCAGCAGTCAGTTTTAATGTACCTTAAGTTGTCGCCGGACTCTGTCTATGAAGAACTTCCAGCAGTTCTCTCTGCTGTCGATGAGACCTTGGCTTTTGACCTCATTCCTTACATTGCTTATAATGTTCTCCACCTCATCATCAGAGTAGAGATCTGGGATCTCACCTGGAGATAAGTGGGGCACAGATGGGTGGCTTTGACATTGTGATAATTGATGTAATCAAACAAAGGGAGTTATTTGGAATTAAGGTACAGGTCTCTTGGTTTTCCATCATGTTCAACCTCACATACTGGTGAAACCAGACAGGTACCATATCATAACAAGACAGGAAGCAAGGGCATTAATAAGAGGAAGGGTATAGAGTATCTTTTGTTATCTAGTGGTAACACCCCACTGGTAATTTCTTCTTGTGTTCAAGGCATTTATGCACCAATTAATGTCTTATTGACCTTTATGGAAACTGTACCTTCAAGGAGTTGACTGTTTAGAAGGAAATATAAACCATACTTATCTATAAGATTTATGGTAAAAAGTGGCCAAAGGCAACATACAGCTATGTGCATATAGTTAAGGAGACCAAGGTTTGTCACTTCCTACAGGACAAAGGAAGCAAGAATGGACTGCTGTAAATTAGTGTGTAAACAGTGCCTTAAGTCAAGGAGGTAGGGGGGAACTACTTAAGAATTTCGCAGACTGTACTTACAGAACTAACTCTCACAAATCAGGGTTGGCTTCTATCTTAATTTGTATCCTAGGGTGAATTTTAAATGGATCAACTGTTCATTAAAAACTGATTAAAAAATACCAGAAAAGGGGTGAGAAAAAAATTCTTATGAGCTTTGAGCGAGAAAGAATTTTCTGAATTGAACTTAAACTACTTTAAAAGAAAAATAAAATTGATGCTCTCAAATGGAGATATTTGATAACTTAAAAAAATGTCAAAATACTAGCATGATTTAGGATCTGCAGAGGATAGACACTAACTCGGATTATTCGCTTACTATATAAAGACATTCTTCACAAATAAAAGATTAATAATCAACACTTGCCTCTACTAGATGCACCTCCCCATGGGAGGCCTTGCCTTCTTGTGGGGGAGAGTGGGGGGGTTGGTTGGGGGGAAGGCTGGGGGTGGGAGGAGGGAAGAGGGGGATCTTTGGTTTGTAAAATAAATGAAAAATTTTCTTAATAAAAAATAAAGACAAGGACAAAAAAGTAAAAAAAAAAATCAACAGAAAGATAGGTGAAGGCTGGGAAAGGGGATTCCATAGTAAAGAAAATAAAAATGTCTTGTAGACACATGGATAGGTGCCTAGCCTTGCTGTAATAACAAAAATGTTGATCAAAACCAGTGATGTTTTTGTTTATGTACATTGGGTTTGCAAATAAGAAAAGACTCTACACTCACTCATAGTAACAGATGTATGTTGAAAGTGTGTCTAATTGTTGATTTTTAATCACATTGGCAAGATCTTAAAGTGAGATAAACCATTTTTATGAGGCAGTATGAGACTAAAGGTGTATGCTCAACCCCACAAATGAACAAAATTTAAAAACCCAATAAACACATAACATCAGTATAGATAATGAGGGTTCTTCCTGGAACGCCCAGATGTGTACATGTTAGAAAATGAGGAAAACAGTTTGCCACATTAAGAGATTCAAGATGAAAAGCAGGGTCTAGTGAGACGGCTCAGCAGGTGAAGGTTCTTGCTGCCAGAACTGATGATCAGAGTTTGATTCCTGGAACTCACAAGTGGTGTTGTTGGTATTCTACACTTTTGCTCTTTTGGGGGCCTGCCATCTAGCTCCCAAATAAATCCACACACGGAGGCTTATTCTTAATTATGAATGCTTGGCCTTAGTTTGGCTTAGTTTCTAGCCAGCTTTTCTTATCTTAAATTACTCCATCTACTTTTTCTTACTCCATGGCTTGCTGTGCATGTAGCTGGGTGGCTGGCTCCTCCTCTCTTCCATCTCTTCCTCTCCCTCCTCCTCCCAGATTTCTCCTTCTATATATCCTCTCTGCCTGCTAGCCCCGCCTACCCTTTCTCTTGCTTTGCTGTTGGCTGTTCAGTTCTTTATTAGACCATCAGGTGTTTTACACAGACACAGTATCACAGCTTCACAGAGTTAAACAAATGCAACATAAACAAAAGTAACACACCTTAAAATAATATTCTACCACACACAAGGAAGGAGAGCACTCACTCTTTCAGTGACCTCCCTCTGACCTCCACGTGCACTGTGGCACACATATGCCTCATGGCTCACAATAAAGAAATAAATGTAATAAAGTATTTTTAAAGGGTTAAAGCAACAAAACTATTAGAGTAGAGGCAGAGTTAGCAAACAGGAATAAATAAGATTTGTCTTAATCCAACGATAAATATCAATCCCAAACATGCTAACAACAAAACACTAAATATTTGCCTTTAAATCAAGAACAAGACATGCGTAGCTGTTGTTTCATCATACGGTTGTTTCAGACTGCACAAAACATTAAAAAAAACCAAACCAGATGCATGCGTAAAGATAATTAAAGCAATACAACTATTATCATTTGAAATCCAATTTTAAACAGAGAAAATCTACGACAATGTTCACACTAATAATTAGAACTCACAAGAGTGTTCAATGCCAGCCTTACTGGATACAAAGGCAACATAGGAAAGTAAATTGCATTTTTGTTTCCCAGCAAAAGAAAAAAGTTAATTTAAAAGTTATCATTTAGAATAGCAACAAAACTATAGGCAGCTAAGTAATGAATACATAAAATGTGCAAGGTCTTAGTTCTGAAACAAAGTGTTATTGAAGGAAAGAGATGAAATCATTACTAGGAAGAGAGAGACATGTACAGATGGAGTGTAATGTGATGAGTATCACACCTGATGCATAAACAAAAACACAAGACAAAAACCACAATGCAAAGTCTCCCAGTAAAGCTAAAATTGTTAAAGCAATGTGAAAATGATCCTGGGGTAAATTAACACAATAAAAGTGAAATATTTAGAAGCCGACTCAGATAAAAAAATAAAGACAACAACATCTAATATTGTTGGCATGTAGTGGGATAGACAGATAAGTATAGATGCTAGAACACTTCAATATCAACACCACAAAACAGTTAGATCATGATGTGAAAATAAATTCCAGGTGTATTAAGAACATAAATAAAAAAATCAAGACAGGAGCAATTTAAATATTAAAATTCAGGCATGGGGATAGGACAGAATTTCTGAAACAGAGCATGAAAAACCTAAGATGTTAAAAATATGGCTTACTTTTATGACATTATAACTAAATTGGTATGATGAAAGTTAGGTGAAGACTTTAAAATGTCATTTACCACCTATACAATGAGGAGAGGGTTAGTATCCAAACTACAGAAAGAACATCTACAAGCTCATAAGTAACATCTGTCCAAGGGCCAAAGGGTAAACTATGTAAGCAAGTACCTCATACAGGAGGGATGGAGTTATCCAGTAAAGACTTAGCATGTGGAGGTCGGAGGGTAATTTGAAGGGGTGAGCTCTCTCCTTCTACTGTGTGGCCTCCAGGGATTGAACTTAGGTCACCAGGTTTGGTAGTAAGTACCTTTACCCTCTTTATTTAATATGTTAAATAAATATTTGAGCTGCCTATAGCTCAAAGTCACTTGTAAAATGGAAAAGGAAAATGATGAGATTTCTTTGTTCCTGTTGACAAAACCTAGTGTCAGATAATGGAATGTTGGTGAAGTTGGGAAGAAAAAAAATATAGGGAAACAACACAGAGTTTCATGATTTCTTTGTAAAGTTGAAATGCATGTAATTGGACAATGAAGTCACCCAGCATCCGTGGAACACCTGCTTACAGAAACTCTCATCCACACAGGGACAAGTCTTAATCTTTCAGCATCACTTCCAATCCCAAGTGTGTTTGTTTTACTGATTTTTGAATGTTTAAAATATTTTGTAAAGAAAACAGTCGGTGTGGGGGTGATAATGTGAATATTGCAAATTTTATTCTTGGGGTAATTTAGTCTGGGAGAAGGATCTAAGATTGTTGTTTGGATTTCACATCACAGAAATAAATATATTTTAAATTAGAAGGGGCAGGTTTAGATATGTTTGAGAGCCAAGAAGCAAGTGAGGGAGGAATCAAAAGAAGAGATGGGAGAGAGAAAACGTCTGACTTGGATGGCTCCTGCTCAGATGGAAGGGCTGATCTTGGAGAGGTGGAGTAGAAATGAGGGAGGCCAGGAGGAACTGCAAAGAAACTCAGACACTGTGAGGCCCAAAGGAATTGGGAGGCTCTGGTTCAATAGTGTAGATCAGTCTCGGGGCTCTGAGTTGGAGAGGGGGAAAGAATGAAGGAAACCGTGGATTAGCTAACTAGTTAAAAAGCACTGTCATGATGTGAGGGATGAAGAAATCTCACGGGCGTCAGGAAAGCCCTTATACACTGCTGGAACAAACCATAATGCTAGCACGGTGCATCTGGACCCAGAACCATCCACAAGATCCCATTAGGTCCTTAACTCTTGGGAGCCTTTGCTCCTTCTCCAAACCAGCATGGCAATGCCATTGCTGCAGAAATGCCAGAGATGGGAGAAGTTCTTGGGGGTCTCCCTGCCCATGCTCCTTTCAAGAGAACTTGATGTCCCCAAAGTGTGCAGTTTAGCCAATGGTCTCCAGTACTAGTGTGCCTGGAACTACGATCCTGTTGCTCATAAGAACTAGTGCACATCCTTGAACTACTACTTCACCTGCACTAACCCGGGTAGGAATCTTATGCCAAATAATCTAAGTCATTTGAAAGATCAAAATAGGCCTGGAGAGATGGCTCACCAGTTAACAGCATTGGCTGCTCTTCAGAGAGGTTCTGAGTTTAATACCCAGCACCCACATGGTAGCTTATAACCAACTAACTCCAGATCCAAGTCATCTGGCAACTTCTTCTGGTCTCCATGGGCACCAGGAACACATATGGTGCACAGCTAGCCATACATGTAGGCACAATGCCCATACACATAAAATTAAATATATAAAAAAAAATAAGTAGCATGCCTATAAAATACCTTGTGCTATCATTTGTCAAAATTAAGAACTTGCAAACGGATTAACATATTTCAGCCTCTTTTGCTAAAAACAAAGATCAGAGAAAGCTGCTAGGAAAATAA